CTTGCGCGTGTCCACCTGCCGGCTCTGGCGGTGGTGGGGGGGGGGGGCGCTTCCCAAAATTGGGAGAGGGGCGACCTTTTGGTGGGCCAGGAGGACTCCCTCCCTCCCAGGGCCGGGCGGTGGGATCTCTTCGTGCTGCGAGGCGAGTTCGTGCGAAGGCGTCCGAGGTCCCGATCAGTGTTCCTTCTAAGCTGTGGAGTCCTGTGAGCAAAAATTCTACTCTGTGAGCTCCCAGCATTAAAATTGTGAGCGAGCGATGTTGCTGCCGCATCAATCAGTTTGCTCTGGAGCCCTCCTCCCTGAGCCAAGGCAAAAATGGGTGAGCCGGAGGCTAAAAAACTGTGAGCTGGCTCACACTCACTCAGCTTAGAGGGAACACTGGTCCCGATCCAGAGGTTGCTGCTTCCAGGCGGTGCTGCTGAACTCCAGCGCAGCTACGAAGTTATCCGGGGAGGTGGTGGTCGGCTGGTGTTCTTTAGGACTAAACGAAGAAAAGACTTGGATATATATCCAAGCACCCTAAATATATATACAGCACCCTAAAGAGGGAGGAAAGGGATTACTTGTTTGTCAAGAGGCAAATCCTTCCTTCAAGTGAGAAAGACTCCCTCCAATTGGAGGAGGACCTTTTCTGATGGGGAAAAGTCTGCCTGTGCCGGAGGAAGACCTCCCTGGAAAGCTAGATTCATGGATCAACAAGACTGGAAGGGTTATGAAACGGTCCCTCTAAGCTGTGTGGAGTCTTGCGAGCAAAAACTCTGCTTTGTGAGCTCCAGATGCGTTAAAGTCGTGAGCGAGCAATTTGGATGCTGCATAGCTTCGTCTGCTCTGGAGCCCTCCTTCCTGAGCGAAGGCAAAAAATCTGTGAGCCGGAGGCTAAAAAACTGTGAGCGAGCTCACACTCACGCAGCTTAGAGGGAACACTGGTTCTAAGCACCGGAGGGTCGGAGGCTCCCAGGTCAGAGCGTGGAGAAGGGGGCCGAGGCTCAAGTACAAAGGCTGCTTCCACTCGCAGTGCTGCAAAACTACAGGGCTACCTGTCCGGCGTGAAAAGAAGGGGGCAGAAAGACTGGCCTGCGCTGTCTTCTTCCCAAACCGTGTTTGAGGCAGTGGGGGGGGTTGGGAATCTTTTGGGGTTCCTCGGTTAGCAAAGGAAGAAAGAAAAACGGAATTCTGACTATCAAAGCTTCGAATAAGACACTCGTTCTAAAAGAAATGCTGTGGGGCCTCTGTCCTGACCCGGATGGTCAGGTCTGGGAAGCTAAGTTGGGTCAGGACAGTCAGTACTTGGACGGGAGACCGGCCAGGAAGCCCAGGGGCCGCCACAAAGAGGCAGGCGATGACAAGCCCCCTCTGTTCACCTCTTGCCTTCGAAACCCAGTGGGGTGGCCATGGGGGGGGGGGCTGCGACTTGGCTGCCCTCTCCGCCATGAGGACAGATGAGCTTTCTCGAAAGAGCGCTTCCCTTGCTTGCCTTCTCTCCCCCCACCACCACTACCTCCTTGCAGGAAAGGGTCATGTTGTGGGCCGCCGTGTGGGTTCACCCAAGGACTGAGGCGTCCAGCGGATCTGCCCCGTGTTCGGCATGAACGGCAGGTGGGAGGGGCAGGGGGTCCTTCAGCCGTGGGCCAGCTGAGGGTTCAGAGCAGTGTTCCCTCTAAGCTGAGTGAGTGTGAGCTAGCTCACAGTTTTTTAGCCTCCAGATCACACATTTTTGTCTCGGCTCAGGAAGGAGGGCTCCAGGGCAAACTGATTTATGCCACAGCCAAATTGCTCACTCAGGACTTTAGTGCCAGGAGCTCACAAAGTAGAATGTTTGCTCACAAGACTCCACAGCTTAGAGGGAGCATTGGACCAATGTTCTCTCTAAGCTGAGTTAGTGTGAGCTAGCTCACAGGTTTTTTAGCCTCCGGCTCACACATTTTTGTCTTAGTTCAGGAAGGAGGGCTCCAGGGCAAACTGATTTATGCCGCAGCCAAATTGCTCACTCACGACTTTAGTGCCAGGAGCTCACAAAGTAGAATGTTTGCTCACAAGATTCCACAGCTTAGAGGGAGCATTGCAGCCAGTGTTCCCTCTACGCTGAGTTTAGTGTGAGCTAGCTCACAGTTTTTTAGCCTCCGGCTCACACATTTGTTGTCTTTGCTCAGGAAGGGTGGCTTCCAGAGCAAATGAATTTATGCAGGAGCCAAATCGCTCGCTCACAACTTTAGTGCCAGGAGCTCACAGAGTAGAATTTTTGCTCACAGGACTCCACAGCTTAGAGGGAACATTGGTTCAGAGTAGGTAGAAAGCGTGCGGGCGGCTTCCCTCCTCCACCGGACTCCGTGGCGGACTCTGAATAAATACATTATCAATACATTTAATGATAGCTTTATTAATTAAGCATTGATAATATATTAATAAAGGTAAATTAGTAATCAGTGAAAAAGTGAGACCTTATCAGGGGCTCTCTGATGGTAAAGGGGGTTAGGAAGCACTGCCTTCTGTGAGACTCGGGTACGGTGCGGGGGAGGGCTGGGAAAGAGGGCCATTCAGTGGGAGCCAGTTACTGGGAGGGGGGTCTCCCTCTGTGTAAGCAGAGGCGGAACCACCCAGCTGCCAGGTTGCTTGGGTTTCCTGCAATGCTCCCTCTAAGCTGTGGAATCTTGTGAGCAAACATTCTACTTTGTGAGCTACTGGCATTAAAACTGTGAGTGAGCGATTTGGCTACTGCATAAATTAGTTTGCTCTGGTGCCATCCCTTCCTGAGCTAAGACAAAAATGTGTGAGCCAGAGGCTCAAAAACTGTGAGCTAGCTCACACTAACTCCGCTTAGAGGGAACACTGGCTGCAATGCTCCCTCTAAGCTGTGGAATCTTGTGAGCAAACATTCTACTTTGTGAGCTACTGGCATTAAAACTGTGAGTGAGCGATTTGGCTACTGCATAAATTAGTTTGCTCTGGTGCCATCCCTTCCTGAGCTAAGACAAAAATGTGTGAGCCGGAGGCTAAAAAACTGTGAGCTGGCTCACACTAACTCAGCTTAGAGGGAATACTGCCTATGAGGCACTTTTCGACTCTGGGTCATGATCTCCATAATTCCCATTGAGATGAATGGGAGGCTGCTGGGCCCCGAGACGGTTTCTGTGGGGTGGGTCAAAGTCCCGGTGGCTGGTGCCACACTCTCTTGGTTGCTTCCCCCTCCCCATGAATGTTTAGCGCCTTTAGTATAACTTCCATAGCTCCCTCACTCAGTCAGAGCTGGGATATCACAGGGAAGAAGAAGAGATTGGATTCATACCCCATGGCCCTTCACTACCCAAAGGAGTCTCAGGGCGGCTTGCAAACTCCTTTCCCTTCCCCTCCCCACAACAGACACCCTGTGAGGTGGGTGGGGCTGAGAGAGCTCTTGACAGAAACTGCTCTTTTTCAAGGACAGCTCTTATCAGAACTATGGCTTGCCCAAGGTCATCCAGCAGGTGCAAGTGGAGGAGTGGGGGATTAAACCCGGCTCTCCCAGATTAGAGTCCGCGCACTTCACCACTACACCAAACATTTACTGAGCTTAGTTGGAAGGTTTTGCATGTCTGGTAGTGAAGAGCAACTCTACTGTCCTTTTTTCATAAGCCTTTCCTCTGTTTCTCCCCCAGAATCCAATGGACCGTGCCCAACGTGGCGAGGGCTGGTGTTCCCCCTCCTCATGCCCGATGGGGCGGCCTCTCTGTCCCCCTGTGAGCCCAGCCGGCTGTGGGACCGCAGTTCTGGCGCTGCCCACCCATCCTGGCCTCTTCCACAGAGCAGCGAGAGCGGAGGAGACCCTCCCGGCTCAAGCCCACCGTCCGTGGCAGCCCCGGGAGACGCCGCCCCAGTGGGAGGCCGACTCTCGGGGGCCCCTCTCCGGGACAATCTGAACAACCTCAACCTTCCATCCACCTTTGGACTGCCCCCCAAGAGGACTCCCCACCTGGGCAGCCCGGCCGAGGGGGAGGGCGAGAAACTGCTGGGGGAGCCGGGCACGGCCGCCGACCCCCCCGAGAGATTGGCGTGTCCAGACTGCGGCAAGGCCTACCACACCGTCACGGGCCTGGCACGGCACCGGCAGCTGCGTTGCAAGCTGCAGTCGGCGGGCAGGAAATACTTCAACTGCAAGTACTGCGAGAAGGAGTACGCCAGCCTGGGGGCCCTCAAGATGCACATCCGCACCCACACGCTGCCTTGCGTCTGCAGGATCTGCAGCAAGGCCTTCTCCCGACCCTGGCTGCTCCAGGGGCACATCCGGACCCACACAGGTAGGGGGCGCCCCGTTTCAGGTGGGGAGACATTATGTGCAGCACCCGTCACTCTGCCGCACAAAAGTGTGGGCGCAACGGGCTAGTGTGCTGGACCTTGGAGACCCCAGGTTCAAGTTTCCGGTGTCTGTGAAGTTCTGTGGGTGACCTGGGGTCAGCTGCTGTCTCTCTCAGCTTGACCTACCTCCCAGGGTTGTTGTATGGACAACATACAGCTGTGGCTCAGTGAGGCAGGAGGTCCCAGGTTCGATCCCTGGTGGCATCTCCAGTGGAAAGGACCAGGCAGGAGGTGATGGGAAAGACCTCCGCCTGAGACCCTGGAGAGCCGCTGCCAGTCTGAGTAGACAAGACTGACCTTGATAGACCAAAATATCTGATTCAGTATAAGGCAGCTTCCTGTGCTTAAATAGAAAAGCACTACAGTTATTTGGTGGTGAGGAAAACGTCCTTACCGCATGCTCATAGGCACTTGCTCTATTGCAACACATAGCCCAGTGAAGAAAAAGAAGAAGAAGAGATTGGATTTATACCCCACCCTTCACTCGGAGTCTCAGAGCGGCTTACAAACCCCTTTCCCTTCCCCTCCCCACAACAGACACGCTTGTGAGGTGGGTGGGGCTGAGAGAGCTCTGACGCAAACTGCTCTTTTTCAAGGACAGCTGTGCCAGAGCTTGTGACTGACCCAAGGTCACATCGGCAGGTGCAAGTGGAGGAGTGGGGAATCAAACCTGGTTCTCCCAGATTAGAGTCCGCACACTGAACCACGACACCAAACTGGCTCTCCAGTGCTTAGTCCTGGCATTGAAAATAGGTTTGGGATCAGCTCAGTGAGCTTGGATGCAAATCCAGCTGTGGCTGAATTGGAGAGGCGGAGTATGGAGGGTGCGGTTCTTCAGGGTGGCCCTCATTTTCCCCAAGTGTGTGGAAGGCAATGCCCCCTCTAAGCTGTGGTGTCTTGCGAGCAAAAATTCTACCTTTTGAGCTACTGGCATTAAAGTTGTGAGCGAGCAATTTGGCTGCTGCATCAATTAGTTTGCTCTGGAGCCCTCCTTCCTGAGCCAAGGCAAAAACGTGTGAGCCGGAGGCTAAAAAGCTGTGAGCTAGCTCACACTAAGTCAGCTTAGGGGGAACACCGGTGGAAGGGTGGGATTTTGTGCCTCTTTGAAGGAGACGGTTGCGAGAGCCATTTCTCTCTCCGCTGGCTGCTTTTGAATGTGTTCATGTGTGATTAGCTAGCAGCAAAATGACACACACACAAACACACACACACACACACACACAGGGCAGTGTTACAGGCAGTGGCATTCTGGATGTAAAGAGAAGGTGAGGCCAGAACTGGTCTGTCGCTGCTGTCTGAAGCAAGATGTTGGACTAGATGCTCTTTTTTATAATTCAGTGGACAGAAGAACATAAAGTGTGTGTGTGGGGGAGCATCTGGTTGCTGTTGGGAACCAGAAACCAGTGTTCCCTCTAAGCTGAGTTAGTGTGAGCCAGCTCACAGTTTTTTAGCCTCCAGCTCACATATTTTTTGTCTTGACTCAGGAAGGATGGCTCCGGAGCAAACTGATTTATGCAGGAGCCAAATGGCTCGCTCACAGTTTTTATGCCAGTAGTTCACAAAGTAGAATTTTTGCTCCCCAGGCTCCACAGCTTAGAGGGAACCCTGGTTGATGCAGCCGGGCTCTTTTTGTTTCTATATAAATACTGCTTTGGATCTGCATGATTAAGCCCTGCCATTGTGCATCCACCAGCTCCGCACTACAGGTCAACGGGGAGTGTTTTGAAGGAAAACCATTCCCAGTTACATGGACCCAGAAAGAATCTTGTTGCAGAGACTTTTAACAGGTCCTTTCGTGCCACCAGCGCTTTTGTCAACTAGAGCCCACTGCGTAAAGGCAAGGGGCAGAACTCTCGTTTCAAATTAAACGTAAATGCATCCTTTCTAGGAGACCCGCTGCTAGCTTGAGAAACTGAGTCTAAAGCAGGTGTTTGTATGAACAGTCAGTCATCTTCCACTCACCCCTGACACAATTCCAGCCCCTGGTCTCACGGACAGAGCTGTTCAGAGGCAGCTGTGAGAGATCTGTGACTCTTCAAGGTGCCTCAAGAGAACTTTTTTGTTTCTGCTGCCGCTGCAACTAACTCCTGGCCTCTGTTTGAGGACAGGAACATTTTCTCTTGCTTGTCAGTCGGAGAATTGGTGAAGATCAGTACAGGCCGGCCCTTCTGGCTAGCCAGGGTGAGGGGCTACAGATTTCTCTGCTGGAAACTTCTGCCCCCCAGTTTCAAGAAATTAGAAGGGTAAACTCTGATAGGGAAGCTTTGTAGCTTAACGGTCACGTCTTCCTTCCATCACTGCCCTGGAAGAACCACGGCAACCGTAGCTTGATTAGGGTGCTGAGCCTCTTTGAAAGAGAGGACTTTCAGCACTTCTCACAAAATTAGGATTCCCCGGTAATGAGGAAGTGGATCAAAACTGCACCTCTGAAACATAGTTGTTCTCGGAGAAGGTACCGTGCTTGTCAAAACAGTACAGCTTAATGCATCGCTTGTTCAGTTGGGGGGGGGGACTTGTCAGATATCAAGCAGTAATAATGAAAACCCCTGTGGAATAAAGAATTTATAATCTATTAATTATTACCTCCAGTTCTATTTTTGTACACTAGTCAAGGTACAATAGCAGAAAGACAATATAATATAATAGCAATCCAGACTTCACAGTATTTGTTAAAGTGTCATTCATGTGAATGCAGAATACAGTCAAACAATATGAAAGTCAAATTGGCCAAATCAGTTGATCAAATTAATTGCAAACCTATACCAAAATCTTGTGAAAAGTGGGAGGAGGAGGAGATTGGAATTATACCCCACCCTTCACTACCCAAGAGAGTCTCAGAGTGGCTTACAAACTCCTTCCCCTCCCCACAACAGACACCCTGTGAGGTAGGTGGGGCTGAGAGAGTTCTTTTGACAACTGACAGCTATGCGAGAACTATGGCTTGCCCAAGGTCATCCAGCAGAGTTCCAGAGAAGGTGCCCACAGGCACAAAAAGGGTTGGTGACCCCTGCCCTACAGAGTTGCCATCAGTTGACGGCCCTTTGGTGTAGTGGTTAAGAGCCAGTTTGGTGCAGTGGTTAAGTGCGCGGACTCTAGTCTGGGAGAACCGGGTATGATTCCCCACTCCTCCACTTGCACCTGCTGGATGACCTTGGGCAAACTGAAGTTCTGTCAGAGCTGTCCTTGAAAAAGCCGTTTCTGTCAAGAGGTCTCTCAGCCCCACCTACCTCACAGGGTGTCTTTTGTGGGGAGGGGAAGGGAAGGGAGTTTGCAAGCTGCTCTGCGACTCCCTTGGGTAGTGAAGGGCCATGGGGTATAAATCCAATCTCTTCTTCACCCAGCAAGGCAGCCCTTTCTCTAACTCGAGGGGCACAATCTCCTCCTTGGGGTAACCACCACCACAAATGAATCTGAAACAGCATCACCTGCTCAATGGATTTGTACTCCCAGCACTCCATATGTGCATTGCTGTTCAAATGCTCTGCCTAACTGACACCACCTCTCACTTTCATTGCAGTAGTTACTGAAGGATGATCCATTACGCTTCCTCACTTTTGTGCTTGTGGCGGAATGCGCCTGCTCTGGCCCGCAGGACCTATTCCACCCTGCCTTCCAAGGTCTTCCCAACACCTGGAGAGGCTTCTTTCCCCCCCCCCTCCGGTAACCTGCCACCACCACTTGACCTTTGTAAAGAATGGCCTGCTGGGAGAGTCAGGGTTCCCGGCTTCCCTTCCAAGTTCTGAGGCCTTGCCTCTGTGTCTCCTGCTGCCCAGCGCCTGGACACTATCGGGACAGTTTACTGCCTCGTGGGCCCCTGGAGGAAGAGCCACTTGCCAACTGCCTGCCTTCCCCCTCCTGGCAATCCTTTTACAAAAATGTGACCGAGATGGTGGAGGTCTGTGTGAATACAGAGAACCATGTCCAGCATCAAAAGTTACAAAGTATTTATTTAAAAGAAAATATTCACAAGCATACTTTTAGCACAGCACCAGACTGAGCAAGGAATACCTCCTCCTCCTCCTCCTCCTCTTCTTCTTCTTCCCACTTGATGGCCCTTTCCACCCCCACCGGCTGGGGGAGCTGAGCTCTCTAGACAAGCCCCGTCAGTGCCTGACTCTCTTCTCTTTCGGCTCCCCGTCCAGGCGAGAAGCCCTACGCCTGCTCCCACTGCAGCCGAGCTTTTGCGGACCGCTCCAACCTCCGCGCCCACCTGCAGACTCATTCGGACATCAAGAAGTACCAGTGCCACACCTGCTCCAAGACCTTTTCCCGCATGTCCCTGCTGCTGCGGCACGAGGAGGCCGGATGCTGCCCTGCCACCTGACCTGGCTCCGAGTTGAGTCTAGCCGGAAGATGGGCCAACCAGGACACGATGGAGAAGATCTGCCGTGCAGAAGCTGGAGTGGCCTTGCGACGTTCAGACTCTGCCGCAGATTGCTCTGTGGAATGCAGGGGGGGGCAGCTCTCAGTCAGGGGACAGGCAGGCGTGGGCTGCCCCGTGCAAGGAAGCTACTCCAGAGGCTGGTTTTGTATCCTTTGCACCAAGTTCTGCAGCAGAATAATCTGCTGTTCTGGAAGCACTTAGTTGCTCCGTCCAGAGAGCGCACCTGGCAGGCTGTTTGCCTGCTGGTTCACCGGGGCAGCAGAGGGCCTCCTTCTTGCCCACAAGGCACTTTCCAGCCGCTCCGTTAGGAGATTTCCATTTCCCGGTTCTGATACAATTGTATGTATGGCAACGTGGCTTTCCTACATTCTTGCGGTTCTGTCCCCCTGCCCACCGACAATTTCTTTGTGGCCAGAACATGGGGTCTTCCTCTTCTCGTTTGGTTGTCTCCTCTGATTTTAAGAAATAAAGTAATGCAAATTAACTTGGTCTCCAAAGCCAAGTCTTATTTATTGTTTTTGCCATGTGGTAGAAGGGTCTGAAGGAAGCTGGTTTCGTTGCATCTTTCGGTTCCGGTTGTGCTTCCCACGGTGCTGGCATTGGGCATGAGCTGGCATCAGGCATGGCCTCTCTGAATTATCACGGTAAGAGGTTCTCGGTCGCAATTCCTTGGCTTGCAAGCCACAGTGGGGACTGCAAGATGCACAGCGCCCATGTATCAGGAACACTGGGAAAGCCCTGCTGGATTGGATCAAAGTTCCATTGAGTCCAGTGTTCTGCTTTCTACAGTAACTAGCTAGATAGCCCCCACTCTCCAAGGACTGCAGGCAAGGTGAGGAAGCCAAACTCACCTCCCTCTGGTACTCCTTCTGTCTCGTTACTTCCTGTTCTGACAGTCAGGGAGGGGCTGTGGCTCGACAGAAGAGCCTCTGCTTGGCCTGCCAAAGGTCTCAGGTTCAATCCCCGGCATCTGCAGTTAAAAGGACCAGGCAGCAGTGTTCCCTCTAAGGTGAGTTAGTGTGAGCTAGCTCACAGTTTTTTAGCCTCTGGCTCACACGCTTTTGTCTCAGCTCAGGAAGGATGGCTCCAGAGCAAAGTAATATATGCAGTAGCTAAATTGCTTGCTCACAACCTTAATGCCAGTAGCTCACAAGGTAGAATTCTTGCTCACAAGACTCCACAGCTTAGAGGGAACATTGCCAGGCAGTAGGTGATGTGAAAGAATTCAGCCTGAGATCCTGGAGAGCGGCTGTCCGTCTGAGTAGACAATACTTACTTTGATGGTCTGATTCAGTATAAGGCAGTTTCATTCTGTGAACTTGGGCAGATCATGAGAGGGAGGGCCCAGGAAGGGTTGCATCAGTGCTTAGTTCTCTTGGCTGTTTCTTACAGGCCCAGGGAAAGGCCAATCGCCACTTTAGGGCCAGGGAGGAATTTTCCTCCAGGTCAGATTGGCCAGGGATCCTGGAGGGTTGTTGTTGTTTTTTTTGTCATCTTCTGGGCGTGGAACAGGGGTCACTGGCAACGCTCCCTCTAAGCCAGTGGTGGCGAACCTATGGCACGGGTGCCAGAAGTGGCACTCAGATCCCTCTCTGTGGGCACGCGTGCCATCGTCACAGCCAGGCCCAGACCATCATTAAAGTGTCGAATTCTCTGCCAAATAATTTTAAGTAAATGAAAGCATTTGGGATTGCTTTCCTTACTTTGTTTGGATCATCTTAAGTTAATGTATGAGTTATTCTTTCTAAAGTAAAACCTCAGTATTCAGGTTAAATTGCCGTGTTGGCACTTTGCGATAAATAAGTGGGTTTTGGGTCGCAGTTTGGGCACTCGGGTCTCTAAAAGATTCGCCATCACTGTCTAAGCTGTGGAGTCTTGTGAGCAAAAAATCTACTTTGTGAGCTACTGGCATTAAAGTTGTGAGCGAGCGATTTGGCTGCTGCATCAATGAGTCTGCTCTGGAGCCCCATCCTGCCTGAGCTAAGACAAAAATGCGTGAGCTGGAGGCTAAAAAACTGTGAGCTAGCTCACACTCACTCAGCTTAGAGGGAACACTGGTCACTGGAGGTTTAAGGGGAGGGGGAGGTAGTTGTGAATTTCCTGCATTATTCAGGGGGTGGAACTAGATGACCCTGGAGGTCCCTTCCAGCTCTGTGATCCTGTGATTCTACATGTGCTTCAGTCAACTGGTAATGGCCTGTTCTGGGACAGCCCCCCCCCCCCGGCTTTTCCAGAATCCAAAAAACAAGATCTGTTGGCTTTTTAATCTGCGGAGGACAGGCTTTTACGAGGCTAATGAATACAGGGAACTGATCAGCACTTTTGAAAACATGTAATGGGGAGAGGAGCCAATGATACAGGGGGTGATCCTTGGCGTGTCCCTGTTGGCACCACGGATAATTAACCGAGCACACAGCGGCTGCCAGTGTCTCTTTCACAAGGTGAATGCGCTCACTGTGCCACCAGCTTTGGCGTCAGGTGCATCATGGTGCGGTGGGAAAGGCACAGGTGCAGTTGTGGCGTGCGAATGCAAAGGATTTCTTTCCTTAGCCCCTTTGAGCCATTCTTTCAGTGGGGATTGTGCAGGAGGGCGGCAGGGTGTGTGTGGCACCTTGTCCTTTTGGCATAAAGCATTTCTCCGCAAGAGAGGGGGCAGCGTTATTACAAGGCGGGGAAGCAGGTGAAGCCAGTCCTGCCAGGACCGCACAGGGAGAGCGGCGTGGATATTTATAATCGGGGCAGTGGTGAAGTACAGCCTTACCCAAGCGCACACAAATAGGACTCAGATATCTAAAGGAAGCTACATTGTAAATTGTGTTCTATTTTGGGCCCCGCGGTGTCTAAATCGGGCTGCTGCACCTGTCGTTCCGAGGGCCAGAGTAGGAAAGAATTCTCGCAGGGTCTAAAATAAGCCCAAATGTTTTTTTCCCCCTTGCAACTTGCTGCAGATGGAAAATGCTTATAAATACGGCGCAGGGCCGCTGGGATCGTGGGCGGGGGGGGGGGGGCCGGCTGCCTGCCAGTCAGGCCGGCCAAGAGTGGTAGGACTGAGATGGAATGAATGAATGAGCTTTTTCCGTTCTCCCTAGTGCTGCGTGGACATGCAGAGCCCGTAGAGAGGCTGTGGCCTCCTTGCTGCTGGGGCTTGTTCTGTTACCGTGTAGTAGTGACGGTATTCAAGCTTTCCCACAGGGTGGCCCTCTCCTCCCCCCGCCACATCCCAAGTCAAGAAGAAAACATTCTGAGCCCCTGCGAATGAAGACGAGACCTACTATTCCGTGGCAGGATAGAGTCACCACTCAGCTGTTCGGGGGCCTCCCAGTGGCGCCATCTCTGGGTAGCATGAACTTGTGCTAAGAGGGGCGGTGGCTCAGTGGAAGAGCCTCTGCTCGCATGCAGACGGTCCCAGGTTCAATCCCCGGCATCTCCAATTAAAAAGGACAAGGCAGCAGGTGATGTGAAATACCCCTGCCTGAGACCCTGGAGAGCTGTCAAGAGGGGCTGTGGCTCAGTGGAAGAGCCTCTGCTTGGCGTGCAGAAGGTCCCAGGTTCAATTCCCGGTGGCATCTCCAGTTAAAAAGGAACAGGCAACAGGTGATGTGAAAGACCTCCGCCTGAGACCCTGGAGAGATGTCAAGAGGGGCTGTGGCTCAGTGGAAGAGCCTCTGTTTGGCGTGCAGAAGGTCCCAGGTTCAATCCCCGGTGGCATCTCCAGTTAAAAAGGAACAGGCAACAGGTGATGTGAAAGACCTCCGCCTGAGACCCTGGAGAGCTGTCAAGAGGGGCTGTGGCTCAGTGGAAGAGCCTCTGCTTGACGTGCAGAAGGTCCCAGGTTCAATCCCCGGTGGCATCTCCAGTTAAAAAGGAACAGGCAACAGGTGATGTGAAAGACCTCCGCCTGAGACCCTGGAGAGCTGTAAAGAGGGGCCGTGGCTCAGTGGAAGAGCCTCTACTTGGCAGGCAGAAGGTCCCAGGTTCAGTCCCCGGCATCTCCAGTTAAAAAGGACCAGGCCAGAGGTGATGGGAAAGACCTCCGCCTGAGACCCTGGAGAGCTGTAAAGAGGGGCTGTGGCTCAGTGGAAGAGCCTCTGCTTGGCATGCAGAAGGTCCCAGGTTCAGTCTGCAGCATCTCCAGTTAAAGGGACCAGGCCAGAGGTGATACGAAAGACCTCCGCCTGAGACTGAGGCCGTGGCTCAGTGGAAGAGCCTCTGCTTGGCATGCAGAAGCCCCCAGGTTCAATCCCAGGCATCTCCAATTAAAAAGGAACAGGGAGTGGATGATGTGAAGGACCTTTCTCTGCCTGAGACCCTGGAGAGCCGCTGCCAGTCGGAGGGGACAAGACCGACCTGAGTCAATAGAAGGCAGCTCCACACGCATTCATGCATGAGAGGGTGACCCCAGAAGTCCTTGGATCGAATCTCACCTTGGCCAAGGGGAGAGTCAATAGGTCACCCTCCGTCCCCTCCCCTGTAAAATGGGTCTAAGAATATTGACCTATCCTAATGGGTTGCTTGTGGGGGTTACTGAAGTCACAGATGTGTGTGTGCCTGAAGGTTACGCAGTAGCCTTACTGTAAATGTTAAGCTCTCTAGGCGGGGGCTCTGTTGCATCCATACAGTTCGGTGTAGTGGTGAAGTGCGCAGACTCTAATCTGGGAGAACTGGGTTTGATTCCCCACTCCTCCACTCGCAGCTGCTGGATGACCTTAGGCAAGCCGTAGTTCTGATAAGAGCTGTTCTTGGGGAAAAAAGTAGTTTCTGTCAGAGCTCTCTCAGCCCCACCTGCCTCACAGGCAACGCTCCCTCTAAGCTCTGGAGTCTTGTGAGCAAAAATTCTACTTCGTGAGCGACTGGCATTGAAGTTGTGAGCGAGCGATTTGGCTGCTGCATAAATGAGTTTGCTCTGGAGCTATCCCTTCCTGAGCTAAGACAAACGTGTGAGCCAGAGGTTGAAAAACTGTGAGCTAGCTCACACTAGCTTAGAGGGAACACTGCTCACAGGGTGTCTGTTGTGGGGAGGGGGAGGGAAAGGAGTTTGTAAGCCGCTTTGACACTCTGAGTGAAGGGCGGGGTATAAATCCAATCTCCTCCTCTTCTTCTTCCTCTTCTTCTTCTCTGGTCTTTCAAGCATCTAGGGCAGTAGCAAGCTGCTGTGGCCTAGAGGAAAGGGTCTGCCCCAGAAGCACAGTTTCTGCTGGGCTCTGACCCAGGAAACTGCAGAACACAGGAGCACACAACACTGCCTTGTATTGAATCAGGCCTCAGGTCCATCAAGTCCAGTCTTGCCTGCTCTGGTTGGCAGTGAGTCTCCAGGGTCTCAGGCAGAGGGGTCTTTCAAATCACCGACTGCCAGATCCTCTACCTGGAGAGGCCGGGGACTGAACCTGGGACCTTCCGCATGCCAAGCAG